AGAACAAGCAATGTGGTCGGTAGCCCCGGAATCTAATATCCAAGAATGAGCAGACAAAGAAACTGAATTAATATGAGTGATAGAGAACTTGCCTTCATTAGCTGGGCTGATTTCATTGAATCTCGGGACCAAAGATACTGCAGCTGTGGTACTTGTACTCAGGGTTGTAAAAATCGGTCTAGGCGTCCGCCTAGGCGCTAGGCATCTCTAGACCATGGCGATTTCCACCATAGGCCCACCTAGGTTACCGGCCGCCTAGGCGTCCGCCTAGTGCCTAACTCGGCCGCCTAGCGTCTAAGTTAGTCGAGTTAACTCGTCCAATTCAGTCGAGTTAACCCGATCGGCTCGGCCTATTTATTTTTATTATATATATGTGTGTGCGCACGCGCATACATATATATAATATGACATATATACACTCGTAGACTAGTTTGATACTTTGAATCTTTGGATGATTGAAGTATTTGAGTATTTCATATTTGAGTATTTTTAATTTTTAATATTGTTTTAATGTTTTATTTTTTGAAAACCATTTTTTTTTATTTTATGACTTATGAATTATCATTAATTCATTTGTTTGGATGTGTTATTTGATTAAATGTTGAATACAACCTCATTAAAATTGTCAAACTGCAAGTCTACCACTGTATTTTTTTTGCGCCCGCCTAGTGCCGCCTAGATTCCGCCTAGGCGCCGCCTAGACTGCCTAGGCGCTAGGCGCTGTCCGGGCGCCCGACTAGCGGCTAGCGCCTAGCGCCTACTACAACCATGCTTGTACTTGGTGACTGCCCAGCTTGTGTTTGAAGAAGGGAAATAAGCTTTTGTAGTTGTTCAGATGTGCTACCAGAACTGTCTGCTGCAGCTGCTATTGGTTGATGTTGTTTTCCTTTTGATTTAAAACCGGTAATCCATTCCGGGGGATAACCGTGCTTTTTGTAGCACTTGTCTACAGTGTGCCCATTCATTCCACAGAAAACACATTTAGCTTCCTTATTTCCATTATTATTCCTCCTTCCATTATAAGCATTTAGAGCTGCCACAACTTCATCAGATGATTCTTGGCTGTGTTGGACAGAATTTGCATGGCTAATATCCAGTGTTCCTAGACTTAGATTAGCTAGAATGATCTGCCTTTCTAGTTTTTCGGCCATGCCGAAAACTTTGTATACCTCCGGTAGACGATCAAGCACAAGAACACTCGATTTTAGGCTGCAATAGTGTTATCATTTAGGCCTTGTAGGAATCGTATGACATGATCTGTGTCACGTTCCTTTCTGATTTCATCAATGAGATCACACGAACACCGTGGATCGCATTTGCATTGGGGAAGGGGTCTTAAAGAGTTCATTTCTTCCCATAAGATCCTACACTTGATGTAGTATTCACTCACAGTTAGATTGTTCTACCTGAGATTATATATTTCATCTTGTATAGCTGAGATTCTCTATGCATCATGTTGCGAGAATCTTCTTCTCAAATCCTCCCAAACATCCTTTGCTTTATCAAGATGCATTACGCTTTGTGCAATAGAGGCGTGTACAGATTTGAATATCCAAGAACAGACAATCAAATTGCACCGCCTCCATGCAGCGTGATGAGGATGCTCCCGACTCGGCGGCGAGACAGTGCCGTCGATCAATCCCCATTTATTTTTAACTTCTAAGCAATTCTCATTGAAATACACCATGAAGAGTAATTTGAACTACCTGTTAAAGGAGGACTTACGAGAATGGCGCAAGGATTCTCGTTCGAGCTTAAGAATAGAGGATTCTCCACATCTTCGTGGATCCTTTGCTGCTGATTTGAATTCCTCTGCGGAATTGTTGGAGAAGCTGTGTCAACCGACGATTGCGTGCTTGGAGGACTAGTCTAGACGCCTTGGTTGTCTTCGCCGGAGACGGCGGCAACATAGGTGAACTGCCGGTGTGGCTCTGATGCCATAGTGGAAACTATTATATGCAGGAGAAGTTACCAAAGAGAGAAACAAAATGATTCATATTGATTTATATCATTTGTTACATCTTGAAGAAGAAAGCTCTTTATATAGGAAAGGTTTAGAGAGAACAACTATTATAACAAACTGTTATGAAGAGGAAAAGACTCAGCTAATGGACTGTTAGGAAGAGGAGAAGACTTTGATGCTGTGCTTAATATCATACTGTTATGAAGAGGAAAAGACTCTGCTGCTGTGCTTAAATGTCTTCCAACACATGTTATGTTGCCAAATGGAAATAAAAGTGTAGTTACACATGTGGGTGATGTACAGTTATCTTCACACATAATTTTACGGGATGTTCTGTGTGTTCTAGAATTTGATTTTCACTTGATTTCTGTTGGCAAGCTAACCAAGGATATGAGTTGTTGTGTGGTTTTTTCTGCTGGATATTGTGAGATACAGACTGGGATGAGTAGGAAGACGATTGGTTATGCTGAGAAGAGGCATGGCCTATATCATTTCAGAGAGACAAAGGAAGAGTTATCAGTAGAAAAATATGACATTTCAGACTAGGTCATCCCTCTACCAGGAAACTAAAAGGCTTGCGAATGCTTGATAATTCAATAGAATGCATTCCCAATTTGGTTTGTGGTATTTGTCCTTTGGCCAAACAGAAACGATTACAATTTTCCACTAGTATTACATCATCTACTAAAAGTTTTGAGTTGATTCATGTGGATATCCATATCACGTTCCGTCTATTTATGGACACTATTATTTTTTGACAATTGTAGATGATTTTACTCGTGTTACGTGGGTATTTTTTATGCAAAGTAAACAAGAAGAACACTTATTGCTTAAAAATTTTTGTTGTTTTGTTTCTACAGAATTTGAGAGTAATATTAAGTGTATCCGAACTGATAATGACTAGGAATTTAATATGAGACATTTTTATGAAAGTCAAGGTATTGAACATCAAACTTCTTGCCGAGACACGCCACAACAGAATAGTATTATTGAACGCAAACATCAACATATTTTGCCTGTAGCTCGTGCATTACGTTTTCAAGCTCATTTACCTAAGTGTTTTTGGGCAGATTGTATTAGACATGCAGTTCATCTCATAAATCGGTTGCCATCACCAGTTATTGGTTGGAAAACACCTTATGAATTGCTTATGAACAAAGCACCCGTATATAATTTTTTGAAGGTCTTTGGATGCCTTGCTTATGCCTCTACATTATCTACTGGACGAAAAAAGTTTTCACCTCGAGCACGAAAGTGTATATTTATTGGGTTTCAAAGAGGTACAAAAGGTTTTAAATTGTATGATTTGCATTCAAAGAAAGTGTTTTTATCACGAGATGTTGCGTTTCATGAGTCAATTTTTCCTTTTATAAAAAGAGATGATATTTCAGATCAATCTAGTGTTCCTCTTCCGGCAGGCTCAGGGTTTGTAGATGACAGTTTATGCAAGTCTTTCTCACAACTTGTAAGTGGGGATGAGGCGCAAGTGGCTTCTAGTGGTGCAGAACCTGGCTTGTCTAGTGGTCACATGGATTACGGATTTAATGAGGACCGTGATTCTACTAGTGAGGTTAGCCCAGTTCCAGTGGTACAAAGTTCTGTTGATAGAACTATATTATTGCAACCATCTCCTTCGGCAGAACATGGTATTTCAGAAAATGAAAGTCATCAAGGAGTTAGTGAAAATGCACAACCTGCCCTACGCCATTCTACTGTAAGTCATGCTCCTCAATGTCAACAAGGAGTTGGTGATAATCCACAACCTGCCTTACGACGCTCTAATCGAAATCGAACACCTCCGAACTACCTCAAAGATTACCATTGTGCACTTTTAAAAAATGGTCCTTCTAGTTCTTGTGTGCAGATGGAAGGTACACCTCATTTGCTCTCTAAAGTTATTCATTATGATTGAATTTCAGAATCACATAAAAAATTCGTTTTAATGACATCTTCTGTTGATGAGCCAAGGTGTTATAATGAGGCTATTAAGTTTGATCATTGGCGAGAGGCTATGAAAACCGAATTAGAAGCACTTGAAGCCAATAATACGTGGATTTTAACCGATTTACCACCTGGTAAAAAGCCTATTGGGTGTAAATAGGTTTACAGGACTAAGCTTCATGCAGATGGTTCTATTGAGAGGTACAAAGCACGGTTGGTGGCTAAAGGATATACCCAAACTTTTGGTTTGGATTATTTAAACACTTTCAGTCCAATGACAAAAGTTACTACCATACGAGTTTTACTGGCTACCGTAGCTATGAAGGATTGGCATTTGCATCAACTAGATGTAAATAAAGCCTTCTTGCATGGTGACTTAAATGAAGAAGATTTCATGTCCCTACCACCGGGTGTGGACTCCAGCAAACCAGGACAGGTATGCTAATTGGTTAAATCGTTGTATGGACTGAAGCAGGCTAGTAGGCAGTGGAATAAAAAGTTGACTACTGAATTAATTAGTCAGGGCACTACTACAGAAAATAGCTTGAACTTCAACTAAATGACCCCATTTAACGTCGGCTAACCTACGACATCGACTAAAGAGACGTTGTAAGAATATAAACGACGTCGGTTATTTAACCGACGTCGTATGTATTTTAAAATTAAGAAATAAAGATATGACGTCGGTTATTAAGAAATAACCGGCGTTGTATATTTTTTAAAAATATTTTTAATTAATAAAACCGACATCGTATATTTAAAAAATAAAATAAATTCACATAAGACGTCGGTTTTTATTAAAAAACCGACGTCTTATGTTAACTTCAAAAATAAAAATAAAAATAAACGACGTCGATTATTTATAAATAATCGTCGACGTCGTCTTTTTTTTTTTTTAAATTTTTAATTTATTGTTCTTTGAACGATTTTCCATCCAATTAATCATGTACAGCTTTTACAATTCACAACAATTTTCATAATACACTAGTAAAAATAGGGGCAAGTATCTACAGGTATTACCATTGCAAAATCAGATATAAACTCTGGCAAATTTAACTTGCAATGAGTACTCTAACTGATTAAAGCAAAAAAAATTGCAGAAACACTAACATATACCTTGCTTATGGGACTACCCTCATAGGTTTCATAAGGGCCTTCCTTTGCAGCCAAATCAGAAGAAGCTTTCAGAGCATGGTAGTATATTGTTTCAAATATTTCTTTGTTTAGATCCTGGGTCTGCACATCAGATGATGTATCAGAACAAAAGAAATAATGAATTAAGAAGAAGGAATTACTGTTGCATCAAGGTAGTTCACCTCTGGTGAATCAAAAGCCATGCCAAGTAAAATGAATGTGTCAGATGAGGTTTCAGGTTTGTTGTAACTATTGCAGTAACCTGCATTAATAAGAAGGAACACATTACCACCAAATTTATAAATTATAATATTAAGAAAGATATGAAGCAATTACTTATGGAACAAGTCAAACCTCTGCCAGTTTGTCAAAATCAAAGTATCGATTTGTAGAGCCTCGGCTTCCAACATGCTTAGATGGTTGTGGTTCAATTGGAACCCCCTGCAAGATAAGAAGCAGGAAGTTGATTCAGAAAACATGTCTTTTATTTATTAAATAGTAACAGCACTAAATATGTATCATATGGACTCAACTAAATTACCTTTTCCCTGGCAAAGCAATTGAAGCCAGATTGCAGACAGCAGTTTCCGTTGGGCTTGTATACTCAATAATCTCAGTACACAAGTTAGAAGACTTAATAGTACCAAGATTCTGCTGGTTGCTTTTTTTGTTGCAAGAGTCCTAGAACAATGAAAGCAATGTTAACTAGCAACTGAAATGCAAATGAAGAATCATATCAACTCTTTAGCCAGTTTCTATCTGAGACTTCAAGATTTCAAACCAGAGATTTTGCGCCTGTACAACATTCTTTGCCTTGCCCTGAGGCCATAAAAAGCCTCAGAACCAAGTATCAAGAACAGTTCAGTGTGTTCACCCAGTGTGTTTGAACAATGCGACAATTACCTCTTTCATATTCTATATAAAGTTTCTCAAATTCTTCACCCCAGCAATCTGCCAATCCTGGTGCCATCATTTGGACAAAATAAAGACCATTGCCCATTACTCTGCACTCTTTACATATGAACCCTATAACTATTGCCAGCCTCTGAACCCTATGACTAATGGATCCATCTTCAGGTTTCTGAATAATATGCAATGAAGCACAAAATAAAAGAAATAAATAAATTGGTTACATTTGAAGGCTGTTAGACTATCACAGTAACACCATGGAAAATGTTTTTCTTACTTTCTTATAGAAGCTGGGAATTGTGCGAGCTGCAGCACTTTTTTGTTGTTTCTCTTTGAAAATATCAAGCAAGATCTTCTTTGTTTCAAGCTCTGCAAAATGGAATAGGAGCCAACAACATTATAAAGATAATACATAAAGAAAAAGATAGATTATGACATCAAATCAAAGCAAATATATAATGCCAGCACAAACCATGCATTTCTTTCCCTCACATCATTGTGGATGCATGCCACTGCAAATAATGAGCCAGAAAAAAACTGCTAATTTTTATGAATAAGTTGAGAAGCATCCATCCCACATTTATCCATCACAAGCCAATCATAACATTCACAATAACACATAAAATCCAAAATATAAACACAATAACACATTAATTCATAACATTCACAATAACACATAAAATTCAAAATATAAACACAATAATTCTAAAATTTCACAATATATACACAATATTTCATAATGTTAGTGTTTTTATATGTCCAAAAACCCCATATTATAATTGGCAATATTATTATGGCATACTAAGATAGGTTTAGAGTCTGTTCGTTTGGTTCTACAGCTAACTGATCAATCAGAAGCAACAAAAGAAGAACTGACACTGAAGATCTGATTTAGGAAGTTATTTCCTTAAAAGGCTCACGCGGTTTTATCAGACCAGTATGGAAAGATGATCAGCGTATATTTTCAAGAAATGTATGGACCTAATCTTCTGAGATTACATTCCTATTTTAAAGTCCTACCTTCTACAATCAAAGTCAACTATGGAGAGTGTTTATTGAAGGATCTATAAGTACCCTTATTTGACAAGAATTAGGGTTACGCCGAAAATAAGAAGAAACACTCCATCTCTGCTATATGAGACTAGAACTTTGATTGACATGTGTCTTCTCAGTACAATATGTTCATGGTGATTAAGATGATGAACTTGAGAAGAGTTACTGCTGCTTAAACGAAAGGACACTGTGATCACACTGTTGCGGGAACAACTTTATAGAGCGTCATTGAAGTGGACTGCATCAGAGTGGGCTCTCCAAGTGAAGGGATTTCATTGGACTTCTGTATGCATGGCTCTCCATCTTCAACAATCCACTAAACCTGTGTAGACTGGGTTTGTACCTTGTGTGGGGCACTTGGGTAAGATTATTGTATATCTACCTTTGTACATTGGATTATGATTTAGTGGATTGGACGTCTATGTGATCGTCCCCCAGACGTAGATACACATCGTATCGAGCTCGGTAAACATTCTGTGTCTTTGGATTTTGTGCGGTTATCTTTCCTTTATATTCTCTTCATGATTTATCGTTACTGATTGTTCTCTTAACTGAATCAATCAGTAATCTAAGTGAGTTATCTATTTCTGTCAATTTACTTAAAAATGAGGAATTGCAAAATTACATGTCGTATCAGAGCTTTTAAGTCTACATAGTGACTTGATCCGAAGGGCTGTTTTAGTTTTGCATTCTCTCGTTTTGTTTGTGCGAGTCTGTCTGTGTATTCGTTGGCTGGTTGTTGTATTCAGGATGGATGCAAGTATGAAACCACCAGAACTAGATGGTCATAACTACTCTTTCTGGAAGGCTCGTATGGAGATATATATCTTCAAGCACAAGGTACCAGGGTTTATTGCACCATCCTAACTGGGTGGAGTCGGCCTACTACCCCAAATGCACAAGGAGTTGCTGAAGAAAAACCCATGGAGACTTGGACAGACGATGAAATGAATGCCTCTGATCTGAACAACAAAGCATTGAACTCAATTGTAGGATCACTGCATGAATCTGTTTTTATGCTTGTTACAGGAGTAAAAGAGGCTAAACGTGTATGGGAGATTCTTGAAACCAGATTTGAAGGAACAAGTGATGTCAAACAGTCAAAGCTGCAAATGGTTATGTCAGAATTCGAAGCACTCAGAATGATTGAAGACGAAACCATTTCGACCTTCCACAGTAGGGTTCAAAACTTGATGAACCGAGCCTCAATACTCGGGGAACCGTTCACTGATGAGAGAGTGGTCAAAAAGATCCTTAGATCTTTACCTAAACGTTTTCGAATGAAAGTAACTGCTATTCAGGAACACACAGGTTGGGAAAAGAAGACAGTTGGAGAACTCATGGGAAGCTTACACACATACGAACTGGAAGTTCTTGCTGATGATGATATTGGAAGCAACAAGAAAGGAAAGTCAGTAGCCTTTGTGGCTGAGGCTGATCAAGAATCTGACACAGACGACATAGATGATGAAACCTTAGCTCTTCTAACCAAAAAACTTCAAAAAAATCCTAAAAGAGTTCAACAGAAAGGGTCAAGGTCAGTCTACCAGGACACAATACAAAGGCAACAACTCCTCATATCAAAAGGTAGAAACAACACCTTTCTCACAAAACAATCAATCTCAGACTGGGCGATCAAGACAAATCAGAAACAGTTCCACAGACTCAGGAAATCCTCTCAATCGGTCAGTACAGTGTAGGGAATGTGAAGGATACGGTCACATACAGGCTGAATGTGCAACATATCTCAAGAGGAAAAAGGCTATGTCTGTTGCTACTCTTAGTGACGATGAGGAGGAAACTTCAAATGATCAATCAGATGATAATGTGGGAAACTTTGTAGCTTTCTTTACTGGTACAGACCTTCAGTCAGACGGAGATCAATCAGATGGAGAATCATACATATCAACTGATGACTTTGAAGAGAGACATAATCAACTTGAGATAGAATTTGCAAAACTTGTTGCCAGCTGGGAACAACTTGTGAAAGTAAATAAAAATCCGAATGACGAGCTGAAGCAAAGAGATGATCTTCTAAAGAAATTGAATGCAGAACTGATCATAAAAGAAGATCTCATCACTCAGATACGGTCCAGAGAGGGAAAATTAATCAAGGAATTGGAGAACTTGAAGAAAAATATCCAGATGATGGACACCACATCTACCTTAGATAAGATTCTAGACTCTGGCAGAAATCCTAATGATAAAAAGGGTCTGGGATTTGAACAAGGAGAATCTTCGAATAACCCAACAAAGTTCATCAAAGAGGGAATGTCTAAGACCACAGCTGATCGCAGATATGAACAAGGACAGTCATCTCAGTCAGTACAAAACAAGGGAAGGAGGTACGATAAGAGTACTGATACTGACCTGGGCAGATCAACTCATCAATCTCATTATTCGAGGTTCAAAAATAATATTTTCAAAGTTAAATATTACACTCCCATTTGCCACTACTGTCAAACAAAAGGTCATACTCGACCGGAGTGTTACTTTTTCTACAGAGATCAAAGGGAGGAAAAATATCAGAACATGACTATTACACCTTTCACTAGACAGGTTTGGGTCAGAAAGTCAGAAGTTATCTGCTACCCCACCATTGTTCTGACTGCGTCTACAACTGATGCTAGATGGTATTTCGATAGTGGATGTTCCAGACATATGACTGGGAATATCAAGTGTCTAATGGCAGTTCAGCCTAGCAGTGGAGCTGTAACATATGGTGATGGACAAAAAGGTAAAATCGTTGGGAAAGGTATACTAAATGTACCAGGTTTACCTCAATTAGAAGAAGTCCTGCTAGTCAGTGGGTTGAAAGCGAATCTAATTAGCATCAGTCAGTTGTGTGATCAAAATTGGAATGTGTGTTTCGATCGTAACTGCTGCAGAGTTAGTGACAAAGCAAATCAACTGGTCTTGGAAGGAACCCGGTCCTCAGACAATTGCTATGTTTTGACAAATGAAACTACATCTCACCTATCCAAATCTGATGAATCGAAACTCTGGTATAGACGACTAGGTCACATAAACTTCAGAGATATGGATAAGCTGATCAAACTGGAAGCAGTAAAAGGTGTACCTAAGATCAGAATTGATCCAGAAAAAATCTGTGGTACATGTGCCATTGGGAAACAAATCAGGACTCCACACAAAGCTGTAAGAGGTATCACCACTGAGAAATGCCTAGATCTTGTCCATATAGACCTCATGGGACCAACACAGACTGAAAGCATTGGGGGAAAGAAATACATATTTGTGTGTGTAGACGACTTCTCTCGATACAGCTGGGTATACTTTCTGAGAGAAAAGACAGAAGCTTTCAAGGCCTTTAAGACGCTGTGCATAAGAGTTCAGAAGGAAAAAGGGTGAATCTATTATAAAAGTTCAGAGATTAAGGAGTGATCATGGAAAGGAGTTTGAGAACTCATTATATTCAGACTTCTGCTCCGAGCATGGTATACCACATGAATTCTCAGCTCTTAGAACTGCTCAACAGAATGGAGTAGTGGAAAGAAAGAATCGAACTTTACAGGAAATGGCTAGAGTTATGTTGCATGTCTCACATCTGCCACAACGCTTCTGGGCTGAAGCAGTTCACACATCGTGTCATACTATTAATAGGGTCTACCTTAGACCAGGAACGTCGAAAACACCATATGAGATCTGGAAGGGAAAGAAGCCAAATTTGAAATATTTTCATGTGTTTGGGACTAAATGTTATGTGCTGGCTGATAGAGAACAAAGAGGGAAGTTCGAACCC